AGTAATTATCGTATGCAATGTTAAGCGATGGCTCTTTTGCTCTGTGGCTCAGTTTGTGATGTCGTCATAAAGTCATAAATTGGTTGTCGCATGCTGAGAGTGCGAATTGAAAGATGCATCCCATTATTTTGATGTCTGTTGGCAAACCCAATGGCAATTCATTTTAAAGCAAACCATGAATAAAAATGAATTGAGAAAAAACATCGATGCAAATTATATTTAGAATAAAACGGTTGCGCATATTATTTTCAATGTTTATGTGTGTGTGAGTGTAAATGAAACGCTGACAACGGGATTCACATCAAACGACAAATCTCATTAGAAATCAATAATATATTTATGTTTGGAGAATTGGAATAAACTCTTTTATCTTGGCTCAATTTTGCTTGTTTATCATGGCATATGCAATACATGCGATTCTCCATTGCAATTGTATGTTCGTTTGCAAACAGTGAGCAATCCTGACCGATCAATGTTAAATTTCATGAAATCATGCAATTCAATCCATTGACCGTCGTCTAAACAAAAATCTTCATTACTTGGTCAGATGGTCGTAAAACGTGTTCATCGTCACTGGCTTTCGTTCGGACTATGTGACAAAGCCTCTGTCATTAGTTCGTGTTTCTCTTCTCTTTCATGGTGCATGTAAACGTAATGAATTTTGTGACAACCACAAACAATGATCGATTCAGATCTTTGTGTACTACAGACGCCTCTTGATCATCGTCTCATTCTGCCTTTCAAAATAAAATTCATTCTCACTGAGGTGATCCTGCATTCTAAGCGTTACATTTATTACATCAGTTAATTTGACTTTTAAAAGCATTACCATGAAATTTATACAAATGAGATTGGAAGTCGGAACAGATAAAACAAGCGAACGCATTTGAAAATACAGTTTCATTTTTGCATCTTGATAAAATTTGATTAAAGCAAACTGAGCGCGCGTTATGTATATGAGAGTGTGCGCCAAAACGCAAACATTTTGTTCGTGATTGAGAAGAGAGCATTTAGCGATTGCATGCAATCAAATATGCATTGATGGCATTGTGTAAATCGTTCCATCAATTTTGTCATGATTTATAAGCGCGAATTTGTTTCTTCAGCCCCGGCATTCTGATCATATTGAGAACGTAGACTTTGTGTTGATAGAAAAGAAACAATGTAACACTATGTCATTGACAAGACTCGAACATCTCTCATTAATTTGCTGATGAAAAAAATATTACGATATTTGGATACACGAAATTTACACAAAATATGAATAAATGTCGGTAGCTACATCAAAAGCATCAAATAAAAACGGTTATCTTCAAAAAAAAAACTCACAGAATTCGCACAATGCATTCTTTAACAAGTTCAAAGTGAGTCCAGAACACAAAAGAGACTCGGTGTGTGTTGAGTGTTGGGAATGGGTACGAAATAGAGAGAGAGAGAGATTGATATGCCGGCACGCAATTCAATATTTCATTCCTCATGAAAAATGACATTAATCAGATGAATTTTATGCTATGCGAAAATGATTATTCAATTTATAAGGTTAATTGATGTGGTTTTTTCGTCGCTTTTTTTTTCATAAAGAAACGAAAAAAATAGCAAACGTTAATTATTACAATGAAAATATGATGTCGAGTTTCTAGTCTAACTGTTTGTGTTGAATTGAATGGGCGAAAGGCCAAGACACCGTCTCAAATAAATAATATCGTCCAAAAATTGTGGAACACAAAACCACTGCATAACCTATTTTTTCAGCATTTTGTTCAATCTTTTTTTCTAATGAAAGGTTACAACACATTCACTTCGTCGGCGTACTTCGATCACATGAAAATGGCTCGTGAATTCTCCTTTTAATATTCATTTTGTATATTCAACGGTACAAGGTCTCATGTATTTGTGTGTAAGTGTTTATAAGCGTGCACCCATTTACAATTTATGCGATGTAACAAGTGTATCAATTTGCAAACAAAAGACGAAGCAAACACACACTAAACTCGAATACAACCATTATGCGGTGTTGAATTCTTATATGTCGACGCTTGAACGCTTTCTATTGTTTTTTTTTTTTTTTTCATTTTGTGATTCGTCAAGAAAATATGCTGTAAATGTCTACTATGTTTATCCCCAAATCAATTCGGTCGATCTTTATTTTTTGTTTTTATGTGTTCTGCTGAAAGAAATAGCATTGTACAATCAAATTTCAATACGCATATACGGAGCATATTGTCTGCCAATATTTGACTGAACGGAATATGAGAATGAAGAAAGTGTATGAACGGCATTATGACAATAATAGGGTTCGTGTGCCACCTACGATTGTATATACAGTGTACACATGGCTTACTGCAATCAAAAGCTTAGCCGATTAAATGTGTAGACTGTTTTGTTGTTATTTTACTCTCTTTTTTTTGTGCAATGCATTCTTGTCCGAAATGATTTCTCGGTTACCTAACTCGATTGCGTGAGCGCTTCCACGAATATTTATTATTATTATTTTTTTAAGTTAATTTCATGAAAAACAAGAAAACAACGATGATAAAGAACAGCAAAGTACATACAATCTATATTTCTTTTTTTTGTTATTGTAAATTCGGTCGTTGTTTGTTCGCTTCGTTTCCGTATTCTTCTTCTCTCCATCATTTTCAGCTGTTGTTTTGCTTCACAATTCATTCGCTCACGTTTCGCTGTCATCGTGCCAAAACAGAACATGATATGCAAAATTCAACACACATAACAGAAATGATTGCATATCGCAAAATGAACAAAACAACGAATTCGTTTGTCGTTGGCAATTAAGCGAAAGTAAATCGTCTTTGCATGTGGAAATGGAGGGAAAATCATTGAAAATTATACTTGTTTCTTGAATATGCCTGAAGTCTAGTGCCGCTCAAAGAATGTTTATCTAAAGAACCGTTAGACTGCAACACAATAAGAAGCATTTTCCGAGAAGAAAGCAAACTTACCGAATTTATCAAAGCAACCAACATTTACTCCGACTCTAAAGAATAGAAAAACATTTTTTTTGCTTCGATTCAATACTTACTGCTAAAAAATATTCTCCCGCTAAAAATCTAATGTAATAAAATGTAAACCCCAAATTTTTTTGTCTTTTTTTTTGTGAAAGAGTCACATTTAATTATTCTCGTGTAATTCAATACATCGGTATTTAGCTTTACGAAAATTGTCTATCTATAGAAATTGAATTTTTTCGATTCAATTGCAATAATTTCTTCTAATTCTGAATGCAAATGAATATATATTAACTAATATATAAATGGAAAAGTTGTACGCAAAATAGACATATTTTCTTTGTTTAAATAAATGAATCTAATATGAAATATTGAAATGTGAATCTAGCATCAAATATGAAATGTATTTTTTTTGACAGTTATTTTTAATGTACTAGACATTTTAGGTTGTCATTCTTTCGGTGAAACTTAAATTTCAATGGAAATTACATCGGTTTGTGGTTGATCGATGGGTTCATCCGAATCGCAAATTTCCTCAATTGACTTGTTCAATTCATCTTCAACATTGTCCATCTCGGCATTGGCAGTGGAAACAGCAACATCGTCTTCAACTGGCTCTGGTACATCGTTCAATACACCGCTTGGTGTATGGATTGCTGAAATCGGGTCCGACGCTGGTTCGTTGAATACCTGCATTTGTTCATGTGCAGTGTCCTTGTCTCTGTCATCATGTGCCAGTTGTTGTGCGATTCCCAAAAAACGTTTTGTGAAAACTTCCGATGACGACAATTCATTTTCTGCTGCATTTAGCTTTACCGCGAGAACACGAATTTTGGTTGCCATTCGAGTGGTTTTCCGTTCGTATTCGATTAACTTGGCATCTCTTGCGGCCACTTGTTGTTTCAATTCATCACGTTCCATGATCAAATTACGGAACATTTTTTTCAAATGATCTTCCAATTTTTCGGCGATAAGTTTGTAGTTTTTGGTTTTTTTTTCGAGAAGGGCTTGTCTTGCCATTTTGAGCACGTTTAGGTTTGCACGTTTTCAAATGTATGAATTTCACAACGGTACTTATCAGATTATTAGTTTATTCTAGCTGCGTGTAGTGTATTCTTCGACGGCTCGAGAGAAAGTGAAACGCAACCGACTTGCCTACCACAGAAATTCAATGCCAAATCGATGTGATGTTGTCACACACACACACAGCATAAGATGATTCTACGTCACATAAATTAACGCCAAATATTCACCACCGCATCTATGCATGTATTTGTTTCGATTTCGATTGATGAACAAAAGATGACAACTAAATTGGTTCACAATTGACGAAATGTCATCGAAAATGGACCAAACTTTTTAAACCGCAAAATCAAATGACCTATTTTGTTGTAAAACTGTTGAGCGGTTTTCGTTTAAAAAAAATATATTTCTGTTCGTAAATTGTACAATGTGACAAATGAACGTTATTCCTCTGTTTCAATAATCCAATAAATATAAACTCTTTGAAAAAGCGTTTTTGGTAATCAGATTCCATCGTTTCCATTTTTGGCAAATAATTCAAACTATTTATTTTCAGTAGAATTTGAGAATTTTCATTTTAGCCTTGTACGAATTTAAATGAGATGTGTTTGCCTATTGCATTCGTACCATATTGTTATAAAAGCATTGAAAATGGATGTTTTAATTAATCGAATTCTGTCATGACCATAATTTATGTAGTTTCTTTTCCTTCGGCGTGCAAATTGCCGCGCAATACTTACATTGAAACAATATTACATAGGTCATCCACTAAGGTGCTACACGGTAAAGTGCTTATATACGCATACAAACCGTCGACGAAAAGCAAAACAAAGTTCCAAAATGAAAAGAAAATCCAAAAACAAATGCAGATACCATTTGAATACAAAACAAAAGCAATTCAATTTTATTTGAATAAAAAGATATCAATAAATGTTTATGAGAATTGTCTTAGCTACTAATAGCTATTGCTAATTTGTATAGATTTCAAAATGATGATTACAATGAATGGGTTCATTTGTGTAAACAATTTATAGCCACGTTAAATGTGTGCTCGTCTAAATATACGGAAATAATAAATGGAATAAAACAGGAAGTGAAAATACAAGGTTTCTCTTCTATTCATATGTTCGTCAAGTGTTCCGTAGCTGTCTTGATTGTAAAATAAAGAAAAATGATATAAATTGTATTTTTTTTTTTTGCTTTCAAAAGAAATCGATGGAATAATTCAGTTTTATATAATTAATTTGGCATACGTGCCACCGCATACTGTCGTTCAGTCGTTTTAGTTCAATTATTCAATGTTGATTATTTGCCGATGGCATGAGCGTTTGGATGATTTGCCAAATTTCCAGTTTCGTTTAGATATGCCAAATTTTTGTTAATCAATGTTTTAGCAACATCCAAACCATTTTCGTCACATAGGTCCACGATGTACGTTGTTCGATTCAATTGCAAGCTGTATTCAACTGCGACAATTTTTGCCGTGCATTGATTACCTAGGGGAGAATCACAAAAGAAAAGAATAGAATCAATTTAAAATAATCGAAAAAGAATCAATAACAATTATTAAACAATAGAAAGGCAATTTTTAAGTGAATGGCCCTAGTTGATTACCCATGATTTGTTCAAGACCATTTTTGGCATCAGGATCAAAATGACAACATCGATTGATCTGTTTTATGCGGTTCAAACGAAAATGCATTGCATACTCGGCATACTGATCCCATGCCTCTTCATATTTGAATGTTTGGCTTACGCGTACCTTGCCGATATTGCCATAGTCCACATAGTATACAGAGAACACATATTTGTCGATGACGCTAATTACCTTTGCTCGGTAGTACCAATCATTGAACAATGCAAAAATCTTGTCATTTAACTTGGGTAAACAATTTGCAGTGTACTTTACGAAACGCTGTGGGTTTGCATCATCATTTAGAATCTTTGTAAATTCGTCCACATCCATTACACGATTTGGATCATTTATCATTGTCCCATAGAATTCTTCGACGCTTACTATGTGTTGCTTTTCTACCAAAATTGTCGAACCAATTGATAGTGTCGATGGTTTTGGAAAATCAGCCATGGTCGGTGCTGTCGTTTTCAATGCGATTTTTTCAGATTCTGCTGATTTCATTGGTGTTGCTTTTGGTGCCCAACCCATATTCTGATTGGTAGTTAATTCTGAACGGTGCATGGGTTCCTTTACTCCATTCAAAACAATCATGTTTTGCAAACCGTTGTCACAACGTTGTAAAATTTCCAGATCAATGTCAGTGTGCATTGATTTTAGTGATGTACTTTTTGGTTCCAGAACTATGCTCGCATTGGCAGTTGGTTTTGAATGGTGAACGGGTTCATTCGCTCCACTGTTACCACTGATATTTTGCAAATCGCGACGTAAAATATCCCGATCAATGTCGATCGGCATGGTTTCTTTGGTTACATTCAATAATTTGTTGACTTGAACCGGTGCTGGTTGAATCTTTTTCGGTGTTGGATTTTCCTTGTGATTTGTGGATAGAATTCTTGGTGCTTCAAATTCCCCATTGATGCTTGTATGTGGCACCGTCTCACTTCGGTCTTTTTCGTCGAACAATTCCTTCACGACTTTCTTTGGAGAGGTGAGATCGTACGTTTCGTCGTTTTGGTAATCATCGGACAATCTATTTAAAAGATTTGTCAATTTTCGTCTGGGTGTGATGAGCGTATCAATATTGTAAGTTGGCATGGTTGGTTTGTTAACTTCCATGGATGTGGTCACTCGCTCTGGTGCTTTTACAATCTTTTTCGGTGTCGTGTATTTTGTCGGTGACGTTTGTGGTGCCTCAAATGAAATCCCATTTTCGACCAGCGAAATGTCCATTTCGAAACTCTTTGGATTCGTTGAAACATGTGTTACGTACTTCTCGATATACTCATCGGACAATTGATTAACTATTTTCGTCAGTTGAATTCTGGCGAATGGGTTCGATGATTTTTTCAATGGTATTTCTGGAACATTTTTGATCAAATATTGCGACGGATCAGCAAATGGATTGAAGTCATGTTGTTTCGCCGATACTCGTGTTGATGGTGGCATTGTCCGTGGCGGTGGTGTTGGTGGTGGTTGTGGTGTTGTCAATGACTGTGATGGTTTCTTTTCAATTTTATCGTGACAATATTCATCATATTTTTGCGGTTTCAGCATACTGTTGCCAAAGAAATACTTGTAAAAATTCCATTTATTTTGTTGTTCAATCGCAAACGGATTAACGCCCGCGCTAATAATATTAACCAGCATTAGATTCTTGTCATTGCATATGATTTTGTATTTAACAAGCGTATGCAGTAAATCACAAATACTGTGATTATCTGGCACATGAACTAAACGAGACATCTTTGCATACGGTGGAATCAATTTGGCTGCATCTGTAACCTCATAAATGCCACACTGTTGCGATGCGATCTGAATCACACAACCAATGTCAATGAGCAACGCACCGTACTGTTGTTTCGAACTATTTTTCTCACGGCATTCATATTCCAGGCGAACAGCACGAACCATATACTTTTCCTGATAAAAGTATGCAAACATTTGGCCGGGTTCGGGTGTGTGTGTCAATGGTTTTGGTGTTGCACCGTACAAAATCAATTGATCTGGCATGGAATTTTCATCCAGAATATAAACAATGCCGGCAGATTCGTTCACGATATGAGAAATATAACCGAGTCCCGTGTAATTGGACGTGTATACAACATGACCATTCGATGTTTGTGGCGGCTTTTCACTTTCGTTCAAATTGAATTCATCCAGCATCGAGTACAATATCAACAGATTTTCCGTATTTTGAGCATCATTTTTGCCGATTGGTGTTGTATTGATGCGTTCAATTTTTTTTAGGTCAGCATTCAATTGCATAAATTTGGTGCAAAGTGACGAGAGCACCACTTCAAATTTCGTCGAATCTGAGTCATTGAATTGCATTGGTTTTATTGAGTCCGACTGTATAAGGTGATAAACAAAAATTGAATACGAATGAATAATTTCCTGAATACTGCCGAAATAAATGTCGAGCGAACAAAAAAAAATCAATTATATGTATAAATGACATTACCAAATGTTCAAGTCGTCCCAAATTAAATTTCGTTGTTTTTATGGTGCTGCGCAATTTTTCATATTTTTCCATGTAATTTGCTTTTAAAATATCCATTTTGCCGGCGTATAACTGATTATCGGCGTTTTTTTTATTATTTTAGTCAATTGTAAATGAATTTACTGGGCAAGAAAATTATTTGTTTGCAGCGTCGTTGTAATCGGATTCGCGCCAATCGTCAATCGGCCATTTGCATTTATTTCCATCAAAGAGAATAAAAGAAACACAACGCGATCCGTTTGAGTAAGAATCACACCGTAATGTGAACCGCCAACCAAAAGTCGGAACTGTCAATTCCATTCACAATCAGCAACGTTCAATTTTCGTGCTGACACATTTGGTTGCAGTAAACCGATCGACATTCTTTATAAAAATGATGATGAAGAAGAAGAAATGCACGAAAGAAATCTCCAAAATCGATAGAAAAACATTTTTGTTTTTATTTGCACAAATGTTTCGTCCGCTCAAAAATCGGATATCATTTGTCAGGACAACAGAGAAAAAGAGAAAGAGAAAGCAATACAATGAAACAAAAAAATGGTGTCTACGCAATGTATTCATATACAAACCAATCAAGATTGCTAGAATAGATATATTTTTGATGCGGTTTGCCAAAAAGTCAACGTTAAAAATAAAAACAAACAGAAATAAAACATATACAATACGTTTTTTTGTTGCTTGTTATATAGAGGAAAAGAGACAGAGAAAAGAGGAGCGAGAGAGCTGAAAAATGTTGAAATAAAATGTCAAGTGTTTGCGAATAAAATGAACTGAGTGAGGCAAGAGAGAAAAATGGTATTTATTTACTGTTTGCTTCGCTTCAGTTGGATATGTAAAAAAAAAACGTAAAAAGAACATTAATTGCAGTGTGTGAGCTACATTTTTGCAATACATTTTATTTGTTGATTTTTCAAGTGATTTTGAATACAATCAATACGAATACGGTCTCGCTCTTTGTTTCTCCCCTGTATGTCGATTCTTTGCTTTCTTTATCTCGCTCTCTCTGTGTGTTATTTTGTTTTTTATTTTCATGTGTCACCTTTTGTGATGTCAGCCAGGTATCTTATCACATATGCATGTATGTGAATTACACATATAATCAGCTGATAAAACAGACATTATCACAATTGGAGAATGATTGAAATAAACGGAATGAAGTAAAATGAATTTTAGTAGTTTCGTGTTTACTAAAGCTCTTCACATCAATACATTCGCATAAATATTTTCTTTCGTATTTTTTTTTTGTCACAGACAAAATACAAAAAAAAACTTTGTGCTATTGGTTTTTCCTAAATCGATTACACGAAAGAAAACGGCATTGATATTCGTTTGACACATAAATTCCGTTTCACATCAGTTGCATCAAATACTTACAAGTGAATAGCGAAAAAGATGATAATCAATTTTGTGAATCTGTCCAGAATTTTCCTGCTGTTGTTCGGTAAGTTGTGTGCTAAGGACGGAAAACATTTTCTAACACACTCATAGCCAATCAGCCGTCATGCAACTAGGCATAGAGCCAAATATGTTTTGTGCTGAGCACGCGACCGCATTTGGGTATCATTTAGCCACTTTAAAAAAAAACATCGAATATCTAACGTGGCTAATTAAAATAAAACAGCAGCAATGCAAAGAGAAAATTGATGTTTGGCGGCGACAACAAATTTCAATGAATAAATCAACGAGAGCAAGAGAGCAAGAGTCGAATGTAAAGATATTGAAAAGAGGGAGGAGAGAAATAGACACACCATTGAACTAAAACAAGCCACATTACATTGCTTTGAAAATCATAAAAATTTGATCTGTCGTGCATAATGGCAATTAATGTTTGACAGTTTTGATTTCTCCAAGTGATAAAATCCTTCATATATTGTGCTTTTTTTCGCTTTAATGTATGATTGTGTGTAAAAGTATTATTCATTACTAAAAGTATGTGTTGAATTAATAACAACAAAACGGAAAAAAGGTAACATTGATCGCTTGCAGAAATAACGCGGAGTGTCACACAAGCGGCCTCATCTCTTTGGCTTTGCATTCAAGCTTCCATTTCTTTATTTTTGTGTTAGTGTGTTGTTACAATCTTTGTGTGTGTGTGTGCCATGTCCAGCGGACAAAAAAAACCGGTAAAAATGGAGTTTCTGGCCTTTTTTCTGTGCATTTCTTATTTTACCATTTTCTTCTATTTTAATTTATTTACCATTTGAAATACTGCATCAGGCAACGTACAATGTGCGCAAGTTTTTGTGCAATCTCTCTCCTCATTCTCTTTTGTCGATGGGTTGCTATCGGGCCAATTTTTTTTTTCTCGTTAGATTGGCGATTCCGATTTTTTTGTGTCTTTCTTTGTATCTCCCTCCCTTCTCTATCTCCCTTTGGTTCTCTTTCGACCTATCGCATTGCCAATTCACTTTTTGCTTACTTTCATTGCACAAGAATAACATAAAATGTGATATCAATCAGTGATCAGAGTCTATCGGTTAAATCACTACTACTGGTGCGTATATGAAACGATGCTCTATCGCTCTCTCCCTCTCTGATTCTACACTCGAAGCCCAAGTGTCAGGTAGAACACTCATAAGGCATATGAATGCGACGCACCAACTCTCAGCATCGACATATACAATACATCCAATTAATTGGTATTTTAATTATGAAACATGTACTTTTTAACAGGTTTAAGTATACACCAATCGAAATCAGATTCTATTCGCAATGGAATAATAATGAATGGTGCTAACGAGACAGTTGATGGTTCAATTGATAAAAGTGCCGTACAACAGCCAAGTGTCGACGATGTCATTGGCAACGGTAGCACTCAACCATCAAGTAAGTATAAAAAAGCGGAAACTTTTCAATGACGAGGAAAATATCGAAACATCTTCTTTTAATACAAAATTTAAAACAATCGAATGAGATCCGTTGTGAGTGTATAATTGATTATTATCCGAAACAATGAAACGATTGAACCAAATCAGTTATGATGGAATCGAACAAGATAAGACAATATTCTCTTCAATAGATATGTTGGATGCGAAAAGCGAAATTTCAATCGATCAACATTTGGAGCAATATTTGGCCAATCATGCAGGTGCAACAGTTTTGCGGCCGGAAAAAAAGGATGACACAAGTGAACTAAAAACGTATATAAACTTACATTTCAAATACACATCACATCATTACATTTTGTTTAATTTTTAGTATTAGTTTCAACGGTCGGCAGGACATCAAGTTTGTTATCCATTTGTTGGATATAAATAAATACACAAATTATATGCAAATTAGTTTCAGTGAGTTTGGAAAATATGTTTTCATTTTAGTATAATCTAAATTCTGGCTATTTTTATACACGTTTTTTTAGCATCTGCTCAAGCAACCAAACAAATTTATAATTTTACCGAAATTATTAAGCCGACAACAATGAAAATAATCACATTCAGCGATATTCAGAAGTTGGAGATTTTTTTGGAGTTTGGAAAAAGTGAATTCAGCCGTTATCAAGGCTATGTGATAACATATGAATTATATGGTAATAACTTACCTATTTTTTATTGCATTTGTGATTTTGCAATTCAATTTAATTCCAAAAATTTTTTCTCTAAAGATAAAAATACACCTGAGGGCAATGGTAGTGCAGTCATGCAACTGCATCCATTGGACAAACTAAGCGTTCTAATTGAAGTGCCCGAATCAAAGCAAGTCAATGAGACTTGGATGCAATTTCGAGCATTACTAGCAACCAGCACCAATAAGTACATTGATTCTACTGGAATGAATGTAGAAACAAAATGCAGGTACATTTTACCATCGTAAAAATCAATTTGGTTTTGGCATTCGATTGGGTTTTTTTTTCTCTGTCTTTCGTCTATTTTTTTTTCTTTGATGAAGGTTGATTAAATCAAGTCGCATGTGAATGTTTGATTTTTAGTGTAGATAATGTTACATTTGACAACGTGTCTACATGTAAAGCAGCATGGTCGAACGCGCAAAAATGTATTGAGATTGATTTTTCAATTCGATTGAAAGCAAAAAATGATCCAACCATAAAAGAAATGAACGATATGAATAGAGAATTTAACATGAATCGCGACGAATTATTTCAAATGTGGATTGAATTTGGACGACAAGAATTTGCTGATAATGGATATAATGTAATTTCTGTCTGTCTCTCTTTTTGTTTCTTTCACCCATCATATTTAAATGGGGCACATTTTTGTTGTTTGCAGGAATTTCCAGTGCCCGATTCAAAAAAATTATTGCTGCTATGGACGACAGTGAGTTTGGTAACTATTGCAGCATTTTTAATGGTTCTAACTGCAATTTGGAAAATGGATGTATTACGCGACTATCGTCGAATGTACTGGAAAAGTGGTGACGACGAAAAACAAATATGCAAATCGTCCGATGGCACAATGTATCCACCTGTACACCAAACGGTTCCCACACTCTTTCCAAATGATCTGTCCGCACCATGTAGTACATCGAACGCCATTCCATTCGGTTGGTCACATGTTTTTCTACTGAAAATGTTTTATGTAAATTATTATTGGCAAGTACACATTTTTTTTTCTTCTTGTGCTTCATTCGACACACAGATTTCGTAAGCAAACCAATCTCGTATAGTATCAACGATTTTAAGAGACGTTCATCGATTGCAGAATCACTTAATCCGAATGGCACCAATGCGAAACGGAAAGCCGGTAAAGTGCCATTTCAAAGCGATACAGATTTCAGTGGTATGATCATGATGATTAGTACGCATTCATTTTCTTTTTATTTCATCAATCTATATGTTCTTTTTTTTCTAATTTTATTTTTATTAGAATCGAAACAAGATCGACCGGAAGACGAAGTATACTTCAGTAACTCCGATTCAACATCACCACGGTTAGTAAATTAAGCAAGAGACATCGTAAGAAGAATAACAACAGCAATAACAAAAAAAAACGCTTCAAGTCGCAACGTGATTTTGTTTTTGTTTCCAAATCGATTTATTCAATCCATCAAAGCCAAACTAAATAGAAGTGATTAAAAAGAATGTGTGTGTTTTGTTTCAACAGTCCCATATAATGTTTATTCAATGTAAAAAAAAAACTTTCAAATGAATAAAGGAGTTAAATAAAGGATATTAGATTTAATCTGAACAAAAATCTTAATAATAACTTTTTAAAAGAATTGTGTTTGATTTGAGCATGTATTAAGGATCATCATCAAACTATTTGGCATAACAATCAAAATTCTTGTGTTTTTTTTATTTTCTTATTATTTGTTCCCTTGCGCTTTGGGATGGTATATAAATATATTGCGATAAATGAAAAGCATGCAGTATAAATGAGAACAGAAAAAATCAACAACAACAACTATGATTCTAATAGTGCTTTGACCAGATATTCGACAGATGGTTTTTCGGCCGTTTTATACACTTTAAAACCATTTGTTTCGAGGCACTTGCGTGTGCTCGGTCCGATGGCAATTAGTTTATAATTAGCTAAATTTACGTCTAATTTTCGTAGAATTGCGGTTGTATAGTTAACACCCGATGGGCTGAAAAATGCCAAATATTCGGCTTTGTCATCGATCAATGCTTGCTTGAGATTCGATTCAAGGTCACTGTGCGCAACAGTTTCATACACCTCAATCGCATCCAAATAATATCCATAGTCCATTAATTTTAGCTGTAGCGTATCCTGTCGCAAATTTCCGCATGGAAAAATGAACGGATATTGTAGACGAGCGCCTTCTAAATTTTCAAAAATAAAATCAGCCAAATTGTTTGAATTACCCGTATGTTTGCCGCGTGCATTTAAATCAAGTGCCACATGAATCAAATTATGCGTCACTTCACCAACACAATAGTTATGTAACTTGCTCCATTTTTCAGGCAATTTAATGCCCACTTCACTTAATGCCACCTCACAGGCTTCCACACTTCGTGGACTGGTGAACACAATGCCCGAATACATATCGGGTGCTTGTAATTTTTCGCGTAGTTTGTCCAAAAATTTGAAGCGAAATTCCAGCGTTGGCACAAAAATTGGTTCAAAATTGTGCGCCTGTAACAACGTTGTATAGTTGTCGACACTATCACTTTCCGATTTTAGTAAAACCACACGCTTCATTTTGTCGCCTTTTTTGTGCTTAATATTTGTGTCTCACGTCTTTCTTATTCTTCTCAATTCACCAATTGTTTTTAAGAGCTGTACAGTCCGATCCAATCAGTTGATAGTTTATAAAAGAATAAAAAAAATTAATTGAATTTAATCCACAATTTAGTTCAGTGTGTCAGGTGTTTTTGTGAAGTGATTTAACCGCTGTGCTTACTCTCACACAAAACCATCCAAACTGTTTACTTTGTTTCAGTTAATCTATACGCCGAATATAAATAAACATCTATTTCGTGCATATTGTTGATGAGACACAGTGTGCGTGTGCGTGTTTGTGTTTAACGAACAGGCCATGCATTCATTTTGTAAAAATAAACACATGCAATTTGGCAGATGAACCAAAAAAGAAAACCAAAACGATTAAACGATTACAACGACTGCATAAATTTGCCATTTATGCGTGACAATTGTCTCATGTCACAATGTGATTGATAAATGTGCTGGCCGGTGGCGCCACTGGTCAATTTTTTGGTATTATTTCACACATATACATATCTTATTGTGTTGACGCTGTCAATAATGATTACATTTCAAAATTTCAGATCTACAATACACTTTGGACCGAACGGTAAGTGAAGCCGACGACAAATAACAAAGAAGAGTCAAGCACAAATAGAAATAAATATATATTTTTTCGAACGAACCAACTACGTTAAATTAGATTTTAATTCTTGTCTATATCGGCTGTACTAACAGTTGCTATTTTGCACGTTCTCATACTCATTTATAATTAAAACGACAACAACGACAACAAACAAATAAAATAAATTACGTTTCTATTTTACAGAAAATATTTTCAGAATGGTGTTTGGAAAAAACATTTTGTTTTTGTGCCTTTTATTATGGACGACAGCTAACGCAGACCAATCAAATGGATTGATTCGGTAAGTGTTGAGTCACACGATTATTGTTTATTTTTGTATTTTGTTCATACACACTCTTCTTTGTACCATAAAAAAGAACGAGAGAAAAGACATTTAATGCGTTCTATTTGAATAATAAGTCGCCTCTCTCACTATTTCATAATTTAAATTTTTACGATATTTATTATATAACTTTTTCGCTTACCATTTCCACTAATTATGTATGGCTTCCATGAAAATGGAACTTTTTTTCTCTCTATGGTGTGTCGTTAATTACAAGACAAGAAAATGCGGAATATTCTATATAAGTGTGGCTTTGAACATTTGCCAAACCAAAGTCAATTTATACGGACATAATAATTTTAATGTATTTTTTTTTTCGTTCATATCGTTACGGACGATTTGTTTGTAAACTATTTTGACCGGAATGACCTGTTTTTAAATAAGATAGATTATCTTTTATCTATTCATTTTATTTCTTTTAGTGCATGAAACATTTATCTCCATCATATACATTCATACTCTTTTTTTTAAGTGTGCTGTGATTATGGCTATCAACGCCAAGTAGCCAATGATCCATAAATGAAAAATAAAATTTTACTTACATTTATTTACTTTTATTGGCGAATCACCATATCGCTTATTATTGGCTTATAGAGCAATATACGATATCAGTAAACAAATGACAATTGGTGTGGTCTGACTCATTGAATTACATGTATGAAAATTATAATTAGTTCATGAGCAAAAATATCAACGAATGACACAACAGTGCATTGGATATTGGGATTTGTTGATATTGTTGTTATATTCTGTTTTCAAAACTAATTGTTCATCTTATCAAGTGTTACAATATGTTTTATTTTCTATTTTGGTAGAATTCCTGTAGAGAAATTTGAAACGCCGCGCAATTTCTTTCATCGTGTCGGCACCGAAATCACACAATTGCGATTGAAATACAAAAATCTCAGAGGTCCTACACCGGAACCGCTCTCAAATTATCTAGACGTATGTAGAAAAAAAACAACATCGAAAAATCATTTAAATTCGTTTATCATTTTTCTTTTTATTTTTATACAAGTTGTTCACATTAATTTTTTTTTTTTCGTTTTGAATTTTAAAATCAGGCTCAATATTATGGTGAAATCTCGATTGGTACTCCACCGCAAAAATTCAAAGTTGTCTTTGATACGGGCTCATCAAATCTATGGGTTCCATCGAAGAATTGTAAATTTACCAACATTGCATGTTTGACACACAATAAATACAATGCAAAATCCTCATCAACCTACAAAGCAAATGGAACACAATTTTCTATTCAATATGGATCGGGTAGCCTTTCCGGTTATCTATCAACGGATGTTCTTGACGTAAGCGATAAATGAATCCGCAATATAACCATATCAAATTGAAAGAAGAAGAAGAAAAAAAATATACATAATTCCAATTTTTCATAATTTACAGATTGGCGGTTTGAAAGTGAAAGATCAAACATTTGCTGAGGCAATCAATGAACCCGGTTTGGTATTTGTTGCGGCTAAATTTGATGGCATTCTTGGTTTGGGATATGGTTCGATTTCCGTTGATCGTGTTGTGCCACCATTCTACAATTTGTACAGTCAGGGTTTAATCAAAGATCCAGTGTTCTCATTCTATTTAAGTAAGCCATAAATGAAGCCGCATCATTGGCTAATCAATAATATTATCATATCAATTTCGATAAAAAAAACCAAACATTTCGTTATTTCTTTTCGATAGATCGTGATCCATCGGGTAAAGAAGGTGGTGAAATTATTTTCGGTGGATCAGATCCAGCACATTACAAAGGAGATTTCACATATGTACCAGTCAATCGTAAAGCATACTGGCAATTCCAAATGGATTCGGTTACTGTTGGCGATAAGAAATTCTGTGATGGTGGTTGTCAAGCAATTGCTGATACTGGCACCAGTTTGATTGCTGGCCCAGTTGAAGAAATTACCAATATTAATCGCGCTATCGGTGGAACACCAATTGTTAATGGACAATATATTGTCGGTTGTGACGCAATACCAAATTTACCAACCATTGGCTTTGTTTTGGGTGGCAAACGTTTCGAATTGAAGGGAATTGATTATGTATTGCGTATCAATCAAATGGGAAAAACAATTTGTTTGTCTGGTTTCATGGGAATTGATATACCACCACCAAACGGTCCACTTTGGATTTTGGGAGATGTATTCATTGGACGTTATTACACTGAATTCGATATGGGCAATGATCGTGTTGGATTTGCCGATGCCGCTTAAGATCGGCTGAGCGTTCATAATACATTCAGAAAATTACCAAAAGCAAGTCTCGTCACATTTAATCAATTTTTTATGCAACCAATAACATTTTAATTAATCCCAGAAGCAAAATCACATACAGAAATACTTGGAGTCAAATATAAAGCAAGAACTTATTTTTTTTTTTCAGAATAATATCGAATGAGATTGAGATAATAAATACATAACACCACAATTGTATAGAACAAATGATGTCTTTTTAAATGAACAATAATTGCGAATAAACAAAAATAATTTAGAGGCTACAGTAAAAAACATACGGTTAATTCAATAATTTTTGAACATAACAATTTTTGCATGATGTTCTCAACTCAATGGAAAAACATAAATTTTGTTTCTTTGGTCTTGAATAAATAAAGAGAAAGAGTCTGAACTGAGTTTTTCACTCTGGCCCAACAAAAAAAAAACCGATGCATGCTTACTTTTATTTGCGAAATCGTCATTTTCGCGACTTCATTTGGGAAAATGTACACGCTTGTGAATGAGAGATGGTCTTTTGTGTACAAAGTGAAAACCTTCACACAGTCACACACCAATGCTACATGGAAAATGAATTTCGAAAATTTATTGAAAAGCATGTGCAGCAGTAAAATTATAGTAGCAAGAAATCAGCGAACACACGAAACGAGCATTTGAATTCAAAGCCAAAAATTATTTGGCACCATATACCAAATGGCAATGAATACACGCTCTGAACGTTTTTGCGTTGTGTATTATATGCGAAGCAACAATATAACAGACTGACAAAATCATTTATACGGATCTCGGGATGCTTGCGTTGAAACACATCGAGTATGGAGGAAATGTTGGTATTTAAGGGACACAAAAAAAAACAGTTGCATAAAAGACAAAAGACAGACAAAAACGAGCATGAAAGAGACATACATGTAGATATATATAGAGAGAGAGACCGAAAAACAAATGAAAAGAGTAGAATACATTGTTTGAAAGTATTTTAGCTGTTATTATTCAATGGATTCGGTTCTTTTCTTATGCAATTTCTAATTGTGTTTCATTTTTTTTTCTTGTACACCTAAATCCATTCTCATGTTTTTATGTCACTTTTTCTGGTAAAATTTCATTAATATCTCTTGTGTATTTGTTTACTTTATCTAATCAATTGGACTAAATTTTACTAGCTTGAAATTCAGAAAATAAATTTATTATCATTATTGTTGTTGTTTTGGTTTTATTCATCAATTTTGCATGAATTTATGAATTTGTTTCATTTTTTTCATTGTTAAAATTTGTTTGTCAGTAGTTGTTGTTGTTCTTACTTCACCTTTTTTTATAAATACGCCTATGCGAGTAGTAAATAGTGTTTTTCTTCCGTTAAATTTCTTTTCATTTTAAAAATAATGCTGTGATCAATAAAAACAATAATCGTTAAAATGCAATCATTATTTTGTATATTTATATTGTGTCTTCTTCTTCTCCTTTTTTTATTTTTTTTATACAGTTTGGCAGTGATAAAATTCTCTTTTCTGCATTTTCCGCTTTCGTATTGTGTTTTACTCTGAAGACCGAATGAATAAAACTGAAAAAGTAACAAAGAGTTGGTGATTGCATTGGAAAGTTAAAAAAAAAATTCACACAATTAGTATATGGACAGGGTTTTACCGAAATGTGTATGTTGGATACTCAGATTAATAGGTCGACGGATCCATTTTAGTCGATGCACAGCGGAAAATAAGCAAAAAGAGAATCATCTCTGATTTTGGTAAAGGTACAATTGCATAAAATATTTGATAAGTTTTTGTTTGTTTTCTATTTTTGTTGTTTGCTGATGTTATTCAAACGTTTAAGGTTTTAACATAACATTTAATTATGTTCGTTAACTTCTTTGCCATGAAATATCACTAAAAAATATCGATAAAATCTATTTTTAAATATAGAAAAAAAGGAATTTCAAATAATATCAGCGAAAATTCTTAATTTTTCATTTTTTTTTTTTTTCATTTTAAATGTAATAATTGTAATAATCATATGTTCATAATGCTTTCCATTTTTAGTCGAGAGTGTTAGAATTAATTTGTTGTCATTGTTTTTTTCCTTTCATTTTTTTTGCTGTTGTAAGCTAAAATTGGATTTTTCCTATTCGTTTTATTTTGCTAATTTTGTTTGTGTTTGATTTGTTTGTTCAATTTCAATATTGGATTTATAGCTTTCGTTCTCGCTCCAATTTTCGCATTAAAGTCATTCTTTTCATATGCACCATTCATACACCAATATTACGTCCGAGCGTAATTTACATTATTTAATTAATGATAAATTTTAATTTATTTTAGCCTCATTTTTTTAGATATCATATATATGTAAAATTCATAATGCAATCTAGATGGCCGATTAAAAGTTTAAATCTTAATTTTTTTTTTGTTCAATTTGTTTAAGTTCAATTATCAATTCATTTAAACTTTTCCAAATGCCCAAATATGTTTTTTTTTTCAATGTTTCTCAAAATGTTAAATTATGAAAAAAGAAATGGATTTAACGACGATGACGCTAAATGAAACTTGATCCGCGAGAAAAAAGTGAGAAAATTGTTAACGTAGCTCATTTAGTTCATAAAATTCAGATGATAGAGTTTGTTGTTTAAATGTCTAAGGTTGATCAAACATGTAAACACATCAGCGTATTGTGGATTTCATTTGATTTCCGATGCAATTTAATTGTATTTTATCGATTGGCAAACACCAGTCACTGGTGTATGCTATGCGTGTGTGTGTTTGTGTGCAATTTATAATTCCTAATAAAAGTTCAACCTCAAAGTGTATGCTCCAATTTCATTCTATCTCATCAAAATAGTAGAACATTTTAGCGGCATTAATATTGTTGTTTTCACTTGGTTATTGGTTAGTTGTTCATTTTGTCTTTCTAAAAATGTGTTGCCTTGTATTTGGTTTTGTTCAATCAATTTTATTTCATTTTTACAAGTCTATGAGTGGAAAGAAAGTCTTATTTTTATTATTGACTACCATGTCGGGTGATAATCAAAGATCCGTATCGAACATTTGCAGTGATTTAGTTATTGTGTCGTCCTTTAAGCATGTTTCTAAAAATTCTTCTATTGTTATGACCCCATCTTGATTTAAGTCAAATTTTCGAAATACTTTTTCGACTTGTTCACGAGCCTTTCGATCATCGTCAGTTTGATTTGGTCGACGGCCCATCAGTTCATGCACTGATTGGACTATTTCGCTAAGCTCACTTCGACTTATGCAACCGTCACCATTCAAATCGTACAATTTAAATGTCCATCGAAGTCGTTCATAAACTGAACCGCGCAATAGCGTTGATAATGTTACCAATAAATCCTATCATCAGTTTTTTTTGTTCATCATTTAGAGGGAAAAATAAAAAAGAAAATGAAAACAGAAAGTATTTAGAAAAATGTATTACAATATCTCAATAACAACATTTTGTGGCTGATGTTTTTACATTTTATGTATCAGCCGTACTTTTTCTACCTCCTAGGTGTACATTCAACCGCTGTATGAATTGCATTTAAGCATAGTTTTGAAAAGAAAATATGCATGTAAACATAAAGTGGTACACTCCGGCTATTTAAATGCAATTCATATGCGGATTGCCAGTGTTTTTTTTTATGAAGTTGTATGGATTGAAAAATATTTACCCGGAAACTGATCGCACCAGTGCAGTTAACGTCAAACGCTTTGAACACATAATGTGCATAAATACTAGAATCTTTAACGGATGAGAGGAGAAAAAAAAATAAACAACAAAAACAGAGAGACATTTCAATGAGTGTATAAATGCATGTGAATGTGTGATAGAACGGATAATAAAGTTGGTTGGAAAAACAAAAGGCTAAAATTGTCGTACGTGTTCTTCATAGAATTGTTCACTTGACGTTTGTTATGACGTCGTTGACAGGCCATTCTGTTTCAAACTATTGGCGCTGCATTGAGTGTTACGCAATTATGAATAATTAACCAGAGTGGCAGCTCGTGTGAATGAAGAAAATACTTTTGGTATGTAAACAGTGTGGCCTTACAAAGCGATTCCACTTCAAAATGTCTATGGCTATGTGTGTCGTCCTCTTCACATTGCCGCCACTCTTCAAGATCTGATGCAGATATATTCAAATTTTTCTTACAATATCGTTAAATGGTTAGGTGATGAATTCCAAAATGGAACACACTTGAATATGGAATGGTACTTGTTAATTAACCCCCTTTAAAAAAGCTTTACCGAATGAACGAACGAACGAATTTAAAATTCGAGAAAAGGATAAAACAAATAGAGGAGTGAGAGAAGAACATACCAGTTGCAAATTATAAACCAAACACAATGACAAACGAAAATTCCCATGCGAAAATGCCAATGTGCAATCTGTGTTCATCGTTTTCGACATGAACATACTCACATACAGATAGAATGCACCACAACCATTCAAGTACACAATAAATGAGTGTGCCTTTATGTTGTGACAATTCTAATGGGATTGCAACTGTTTTTGAATATGCCAACCATCAAAGTAATCACGTTTCTCTTTTAGCCGGCTACATTACAAATTGCACAATAGGAATTTTCTCAAGGAATTTTCCAAATAAAAACAAAGAAAGAAATCGAGAAAGAGACTTATGTAAAATTGAAAAAAAAAAAACGGTTTTTCGAATATTATACTTACTGCCATGAGGGAAGAACTTTGCATAGATATCTTTAAAACACTCTTCATGAACAACACCTTCAGGGCATTCCTGTGAATAGCAACATAGAAAGAGAAAGACAAAAAACCGTGAATTGCATTTTTTTTTTTTGCAAATATAAACTAAAATTGCATTGCCTCTCGCACAAAGGTGGAGGGCAAGCGACAAAGATGTCACAATTTAAAACATAATAAGGCTACTGAGAAAATAAGAAAAAGTATATAAAAGACCATAAGCCAAATTGAATGGTATGAAATTCACTAGAAAAATGAAGGGAAAAGACGCATTGTCTACTTATCTCCCAACGGGAATAACGAAGTGAAACTATATGAGGAAAAAAAGATACACTACAAAGAAACTGTTTTCCAAACTAAATGTCTATTGATTTTGAATTCAGTTTGAATATTATGAACATACTGTTTTGAATCCACGATACATCACTCGAATTTCTTGTCGCGTGAATTTTGTTTGGCGACAAAGGTCCTCCAAAGCGACTGGTATTGGCTTGGGTACGCGAGTTGTTTCTAACTCATAAACTACTTCTTCAACTGGACTTTCTGGTGGCGTTGCCATGTCGTGTGTGTTTTTATTGTGTGTATGTTGTGTGTGTGTTTGTGTTATTTATTCAATTTTCAACTTTTTTTTACAGTTACTATTCTTATTATTGTTATCCCGGTTTGAATAAGTTCTGTTAATCTTTCGTTATTTTATTGTATTCGCATTTGTTAATTCGGTTTAATTCCTTGTTTTATTATTTGGTTTTTATTAAATTTAAGTCGTTTTGCTTTTTTCTTTAAATTGATTTAACCTAAGATACTTTTTTGCATAGTTGTTATTGTTTAATAAGTTTTTTGTTGCTTTTTCTTTAAATATCTGTATTGATCTTTTGAATACTTGTTAAGTTGACGTAAACTTCGTAAATATACGATTTAAAATTACGTTTTAAAATTTAACTACAACTAAATATTTATAACTTGGAGGGGATGAAGTAATGTGAAAAATGAGTTTCACTAAATAAGAATCGATTCAATCAAATCACGTCTTTAACGAAAAAAAAAATGTGAACGAAAACAAACGAATGAACTAAAAACAATCACATCCACTGTTTTATTAATATGTATCAAATTTAAATTAGGTTTTCATTTTTAATTTAACTATTATTGTACAGTTTGGTTTTCGTTTTATTTTATTCTCGGCGATTTTCAATTAAGATGTTTCGGGTGGTCTTTTTTCATTAATTATATTATGTTTTGTTTAAATATTTTTTTTTTTAGTTTGAATGTTATTTTGAATGAAAAGAAAAACCCCGAAACGAAATAGCTTAAATTAACACAGTTCAACTCAGTACGATATATCCTTTGGTATCCTAGCTTCTTTATTATTAAAAAACACCCCCACACAACATAGACGCTAGTACATCTAGTTATTTATAAATAATTTAATAAAATTCGTGTACTTGCAGCTATTACACATTACAGCTAATCTATGGTGGATGGTAATAGTGGTTGTTTCTTGTTGCTGTTGTTGTTTAGATTTTATTATGATTTCTAAAAGCAATGAAAATGTTGTGTTGTTTTTGTTGAGTAATATTTTTTTTTTTGGTTTGGCTTTGGTTTCGTTTTTTTGGTATTTGTGTACGAAATGTATACTGTATTGATGAAATTTGGCAGGAATAGAAAAAATGGGAAGAGAGAAAAGAATATATGTAATCAACAAAATATTAATACAAAAATTGTACAATGTAGATCTTTTTCTAATAAATAAACACATGCAAAATAAACGAGTCTAGTTTAGTGAATAATTTGGAATTTGTTTTGAATTTTTAATTTTATGTCTCGATACGGCACTTTATAAAATGATATGCTTTGTACAACAACGTTGACAATGATAACGATAAGTGTAAAGGCGGAACGATTGAAATCTTACACGCATACAATAATTTATACCATGTTGGATATTAATATAAACGAACGAACGAACGAAACAAAAAAACACATCGAATTTCCCACGAATATTTGTTCATGGGACAAATAACAACTGTTACGCAAACGTATACACATCAGTGAAATGAATGAGAGCAGAGGCAACAGCAGCACCACATGAAGTATGTTAGAAAAAACAATAACAAAACAAAAACTGAATGAAACGTTTTATAACGGTGGAAAAATACACAAAAAGGCTGGCAGACAGACACACACACATACATGTACGCACACTCGCCTGATTCGTTTCAAAATAAATGAAAACCAATCGAATTACCAATATTAATTTATTGGTTGGCTCACATGCTGATTCAATGAAGCGTAATCACGATAATCACACGCATTAGATTAACGAAAAATGGCCCAATGACTATAGTTGATATTGCATATAATCGAACCGAAAGCACCGACAGTGTTGTATACAATCAAAACGATGTAAAAACGAAACGATTGAAGACGAAAGAAAAACGCATCGAAACGTTCACGAAACAGTCTCTTTCGATTCAGAAACGGTTTTCTTTCAGATTCACATTGACGCACAAAACGAAATCTCACTGTTTCAAAGAAAATTTTCGCAGCGAGACCCTTTATCTATTTATAATCATTCTCTCCCTTTTACTTCGATGCTTTTTTTTAAACTTTGATTTACCTTATAGGATATTATGCAGAAATGTGCAAAAGAAAAAAGGTGCTTCAAATAAGGATATTTGTCGTTAATATTAAACGAGCATGGAAAAACATGGATACTAAATCGGTTTTAATATTAGCGATATCTTAGCATGTTTTCCATAATTTTTCATAATGTATACTTGTGACACGCACGGTATTCACACATTACATATTCATAAATGCACTGAAAATTACGAACGTAAATGAGATCATACCGAGACAGAATTCGTTCGGTGAAACGAGACGAGCCAAAAACACCGACGACGACGACAACGATGACAAATACCAAAAAGATAACGAAAACAAATTCCTTACAGAACGATAGCAAAATGGATTGATGGAACACGAGCGAATAAAAACCGTTAAAATAATTTGCAAATACACAAATAAAATATGCCCATGATCATCATATCACATCACATCACATCACTGAGAAATACACGAGTATCAAAATGTATGTTCCGTGGGGTTTCGTGTTTCGGTTTGGTCTCGTGCAAAAGACCAAATGTTTTGTGCACCATGCAGGATTTTATCGTGTTCGCAAATCACTACCGAGGCACATCCACGTACGTTGCCGTTTCTATTTTTTTAGGCGTGTATTTGTGTAAACATATATATATTTTTGATACACAGCACATCGTTGCTGATTCGATTCTATTGATTACGCGTGTCTGTATCTGTAAGCTTTTCCATTTCGGCTAAGGGCTTTTCTTCCCGCACATTGCAATACCATATTATATATCACTGACGTAGATTGAATCCAGTTAAAGTTATGTTTATGTTTGTATGACTGTTTAACTTTCTTCACTGCTTCTCATATCGAATCATGCGCAAAAATACTAAACACACCGTGATAAGCTTTACATCAGTATCGCGCGCTTTCAGACTCCATATTTCGCACATTTACTCATACATATACATCATACAATATATTCATTTCTATATATGAATTTTATGGTGAAATTTTGTGCATGCACGCACGCATACACATTGGCACAATCTCACACACAGTACATCGTTCGTCACAAGCAAGACAACTAGCAAAAAAAAAAAATTATGAACGATTTGGGTGTTCGGTGAGTCTTCAGGTTTTCAGGTCTTCATCTTTTACCGTTTTGCATTTAATTCGTATTTGATATAGGTTTCATGGTATGCGGGATGGGAATGACACACGCAAATGATCCTAGACACATTATGTCAGCACAAAAGAAGCATTGAGTTATAATACTTTGACATAAATGTATGCATATAAAATATAGAATATATACACATACACCTACATTCATACATACATATATGTATTAGAGTGGTTCGATTTTGACATTTTTTCAAGCATCAAAAATCGTACCCCTATAACCTCTGTAGGAAGGTCATAGAAACATGACTATAACATCGAATTCGAAAAAAAAAAAGATTTTTGGTGATGCGCGGCTCCAGGCGGTTTCTTAAAAAAAATCAAATTTTTATGAATTTTGATGAATTTTGAGCACTTTGAAAATTCAACAAAAAATCCCCGGGGGTTTTTTGGCACGAGAAAACCGATTCTGGCCTTAATTTTGTAATACAATTAATATTCGACACTTTTTTGATAAAAATATATACTTTTTTCATAAAAATATTCTTGAAATACATAAAATTGACGGTATTGAATACAACACGTATAAAGGGGTTGTTATGACATTTACAGGTACCTTGTTTTTGAAAGATTTTTTTTTGCAGCAATCAAATCACAGTGAAAACTTGTGAATCTTATTTTCTCACCAAAATACATAATCTGGCCAACTTTGAGGAAATTTCATTCATTACAACATCAAACATGCGTGGTACCATACAAAAATCCAATTTTTTGTGATGATTTCATGAAAAAAGTGTCGAATATTAATTGTATTACAAAATTAAGGCCAGAATCGGTTTTCTCGTGCCAAAAACATCCCGGGGGACCATTTTTTGTTGAATTTTCAAAGTGCTCAAAATTCATCAAAATTCATAAAAATTTGATTTTTTTAAGAAACCGCCTGGAGCCGCGCATCACCAAAAATCATTTTTTTTCGAAATCGATGTTATAGTCATGTTTCTATGACCTTCCTACAGAGGTTATAGGGGTACGATTTTTGATGCTTGAAAAAATGTCAAAATCAAACCACTCTAATATGTATATATGGGAAAATGATGAGAATTCGGGCGATAGAGGAAAATTATTATAACCATGACTAAAAATATTATCGGTACATAACGGCTGAAAGTTTCACATCATACTGAAATGCAAAACAGCCAATGAACAAATCAAAAGCATACTGCTTCAATACAGGAACAACAGGAAAATAGAGAAGAAAAAAATAGCGAATGGTAGAGAGAAACAAAAAATTAATTTGAACAACTTTGTGACATTATCGCTCAGGAAAGCGAATAACATGACGTACGCGAAAAACATTGGGAATGCGAATTGAGCAAGAGTGAAATGCAAATAGTGCCATCACGGACGATGAATATGTGTACACAACGGCTTTATTCAATTTCATTGCATTTTGCTCTTCTCACGTATACCATCCTCGTGCGCTGTTCGTCTGATATATGTTTTTTCATTGTTTTCATTTTTATTTTTCATATTGTTTGTGAGTGGTGTGTGTGTGTGTGTGTGTGTGGGTTTTTTTATTCCTTATAATGTATGAGTTTCGTGCATTGCTCTACTCAATTGTTTTGATATGTCTTCCTTTCTTACAATTTTTACGATGCGTCCGTATGTGCATCGTGTATGCAAAACAATTGTTATCGCTTCAACTGCACGATACATGTGTGGCAATACGATTATATTCCATGATCTATACAAACCGAATGAGACTAGGTGAGAGAAGAAATGTAAGGCAGCTGCAAACATTAACCGAGTTTTTTTTATATCTATATATTCACTATTCTTCGCTATTGCTACAATTTTTATATGTGAAAATGCATGCATGTGAAGTTATATTTTCTTTTTTAATAAATGAAAGGCACTATCATTTTCCTATATCGGTGAAATATCAATGTTAACCATTTAATCGCTATAAATGGAATGTGCGTTTCATTTGTGATTGTTACCTTTGTGTATGTTGGTGTTGATGGTTCGGAGGTAATTGTTGGTAAGAAAATCGAATCGACGTTCGGTTGATAATTTTCGTTAATTTGTTGTTGTTATTATTGCTGTTGTTTGCCGTTGCAAATGTTGAATTTTCTCAAGTAGTGGGTGCTCGTCGACACTCTATCTATTTTGTCGTTTCTCTCCGCTTTCTCACTATTTGGGCAACTCAAACAACGATATCGCGTTTCACTTTTCCTTTTTCGTTCTTTCGCTCTCGTTTATTATTCGTTTTGCCTGGATTCGTTTTATTTTTCATTCGCCATTGCTATCTCAGTTTGGTCGTTTCTTCGTTTCGTTTCGTTGTAACTTTTTTGTTGTTGTAGTAAAGTGGATTCTGCAAATGTTACAGATTGAGATACTGACTGATTGAGCTATTGAGCGTGCTGTATGTTCCAATGCAGGGTACGTGTGTGTGTGTGTATATATATATATTCACGGTTTGTTGCTTTAATTTGCCTGGCTATTGTACCGCTTGTCGCGGCGAGTGCTTATTCGCTGGTGTGTATGCTCAACTCCAACGACTAATTAGTGCGAAACGTTTGAAGACCATACATAATTGTGTCCTCGGAACATGCTATCAGCACATGTTTTATGTTTAAAAATAATATTTGTTATTCCTCTGTATGTGTGTGTCATAGATATGCTACTATTTTATAAGTAGACGGCTGTCGGAATGTACAATGTGTGCTTTTTTATGATGTATATTTGATTTATTGTGCATAGTTGTTAGAGTTTTGCTGTTTTTTTCGATTTTATTTCACCTTTTTGTGTGCATATTCACATATACCAAATCTAGATAGATTGTCCGTTATGTTTCAATTCAAGCGATTGCATTTGAAACGACAGAGAAAATAAAAATCACATACTTAAAACATGACTGCAACTTTTGAGAGGCAACGACTCTAAAGACTCAACTAGGAGCATAATAGTGACGAGAGAAGCACACACTTTCAAACTAACATTTTACTCGAACGAAAGAACAAAAAAATTGAACGAAGAAGGAACAAGAACCAGAGGCATACATTCAATTCGGATTGGCTTTCGTTATGAGTGAATTCGTGTGCAACGCTTTTTTTCCTGCCTTTGTTGGCTGTGGTTGTTGTTGTTGCTGTTATTTCCGTTTTCGTTTCACTTTGGTATAACTTTAAATTTACATATTGTTAGCATTTCAAAATGACTTGTGTTAATGCATTGCATTTTCGTTGCCATATAATTTTTTTGACCATTTCAATTTAGCACAATTTAATTTTTATTTATTACGACTTTTTGTGCTTGTTGATTGTTGATATAATTTCCATAAGTAATTTATTAGCTTGATACCTTCGTTTTTCTTTGCTCGCTTATTTTTCTTCAATTTTTTCTTTTCCTTTCTCTAGTTCCTTTCACTTTTCATCGTAATTCGATGTTTCTTATCATCATCTTCTTCTTTTTTTTTTATTATCGTGTATTATTATGATTTAACACTTAATTCACACTGCTTGTAATACGGATTGATTTTTGGCATTTCTTTTTAGAACTTATTTATGATTTGAACAATATTGCTACAATGCTATTAAAACCAAAATTTATTGTACTGTTTAAGATGATGTGTGTTAGTTTGAACGGGGTATGCGTATATGACTTTTTTTTCTTGCTTTCTCTTTGCAAATGTGCTTTGCCACACTTTCTATCTATCTCTCTGTGTGTGTGCGTGTGTGTGTCTCTTGACACTCGGTGATTGGGGACCAAATTCACAATCCGAACTAAGATAATTTAAACGTGATTTGAAGTGTCTTAAAAACGGATATTTCATCGAATTCGTTATGGTTTTCTTTATACTGATTTAAAGTCTACCCTATAGAAAATTCACTTTTATTTTTAAAAACTTCACACACTTTTTCCAACAATTTCGTTCATTTTGTATATAATCTTATTTTAAAAAAAAAAACTCGCACAGGCTATCCAAACCCCGAAAATGAAACATGCACAACGATTTTTTTTTCTCTCTTCTCTTTGTTGGATTGCTTTCTATTATCGCCGCTACCACCGCCGCATACAATGTAAGAGAATATCTTACCCGGACTGTGAGCGAAATATTTTTCTGCTTGCGAAGAAAAGGCAAAACCACCAAGAATAAGCAGCAATTATGTGAAAAAGCGAGACATGAGCCAAATGGATGGGAATACATAATGATTGTATATGTGTATATAAGCGCAAGAAGGCACATGCATTTACCAAAAGCATTTATACCAGCGAGATGAGGGTGTTTATTTAAATAAGCGACAGGGTTTAAAAAAAATACCAATCTCATTTGAAATTTCGGTAAAAATAAAATTGGTCGATCCGACATAGAAAAAAAAGGTAACACAACATAAAAGTAATCAATTTCGAAATTGATTTAAAAAAAAGAAAATTCTTTATCACAAATGCTGTATATGATTTAAATGGAAAATATAACTTTCACATCACCCTGTATGTTTGACATATTTTCTTGCTTGGACTTTTTGCGCGCGCATTTGTTTCAAGTTATTTTGTTCGAACACACACGCACACCAACACAATTGCACAATTCCAAAATGCTACACACACGCACATCCAGCAGCAGTACACGCTCCGTATGTAAATAAATCTGTGGAAAATAGAAGGAGGGAGTAAAAATGTTACATTCGGTCGGTTTGTTGTTTTTGTTGCTGTTCTTGCTGTTTAGAAACGAGAAAAAGCTGGCTTTTGGATATCAAGCCGATTTACGTATATATTTGCTTCGTGTGATACGTATTTGCTGTGGTTTGAATCGGTGAAGCTTTTTCTCTCTCTCTTTCTACATTTGAAGAAGGAGTCAAAGAAGCAAAATGACAAGAAAAAAATCATCTTAGCCACATAGCCCATTATTTTGACCGAAACAAACGGTACGAAACATTTGGCATTGTTAAATTATGGAATTTAAACGGAAATAAAAGATAACAACCCCAGTCATCCGTATATATCGGGAACTAACACCGTTTTTGGCACGGGTCCATGTTTGCAAGAGTGACTTGAGAATTGTCATCAATTTGGCGCTTACTGCATTTTATTTTCTCTTTATATTTATGTATGTCATTTGAATGACGTTGAACAGCTGATTGTCTCCATAAGAATGTGCGAAGTGCTGCATGTGAAGCAAATAACCCGAACACACATTTTTACATCTTCTTTACAGGCAACACAGAAATTTTTTTATTTGCTCACATCGAAAAATGGATTGCACTTTTCTTCAATCCGAACTTAATCGCTTCTTTTTTTTGCAAATTCAAGAGAAATTGAATTCATTGCCGTTCTTCAATTTTTTTACGATTATTATTTCCTTTTTTTATTTCATCGATAATGTGCAGATGTTTCTACCACACAAAAGTTAAAAAGGCAAAAAAGCACAAAAAAAACAATGAAAATGTAGTAGTAGAAGAAGACGATGAAGTTTTAATATGATCAAAAAATGGCAAAGAAGGTGACAGCGGGTAGAGAAGATAGAGAGAAAGAGAGATTTAGCAAGAAAAAAAACAGCAATTGCAACCTTTTATTACGACATTAGAGTAAATTTATTGCGACATTTATACTTATACAATTAGCATAAATTCCATTTTGGTTTTCCACATTATTGGTTTTTACCATCGTTTTTAAAAAGTAGTTTTCTGGTAAGTAACTGAACGATTTACGAGTTTCGGAAGAGATTGTTGTGTTGATTTTCTGAACGTGACGCGCGTGGACTTGATTCTGGTTTTCATTTTGTCTATTCGTTTTCATGAATTCAATGAAATGAATGTGTGAAGTGAAAACAATAACCGTTACATATATGGTTTTTTGTTGATCTGTTGTTTTTCGATATACGTAATTACGTAATAAAAAGATAAGCTTTCCCACTTTTCAGTACTTGTGAAAAGCACCTTACGATTAAGCAAAGCTCTCTTCGAGCTACCAAAAAGCTTGTAAGAATCATCCACTTCTTTGAGACAAAGAATCTACCAATCCAAGCAGTCCGTTTGAATTTGAGCTGCTGTTGCTATTGTTGTTGATGTTGTAGTTGTAGCGGAAACCGCTTGGGCTCGATGAAAGTCATAAAATCAAGGTATAAATTGAATTGTGTGATTCGGTCGAAATAAAGCATTTTTCATGGAACCATTATCATTAATATGTAAGACAAAAAGGGTTTTATAGGCACTTCAAGAAAATTGTATATGAATCTAATAAAACGCTTCAAGATATGACCTTCAGATAAATGTCGCATACCATTTTACATGCAATCATATCAAAGTTATAAACCACAAACTGGGATTTCGGTAAAATGTGTGAATAATTTAGATTCTTTCTTCGAACAATGCATTCTGCCTCGGCTTCACATTAACAACTTAAGAGATTTAACATTTAGCTGGGTTCGCCGTGTACAATTTTTTTTTTGTTGTGTCTTGCCAATGTATCATATCGGCGCTCTGTTGTCTTGCCAGCAAAAACCTAATAAGCATCATCGCTTAAATGCTCATAAAATACATAAGAGGCTAAATGTGGAACGAATTGTCGACGACAATGACGACGACAACGACAACATCAAATAAATGAACGAATGGCAATACGAACAATAACAATGTCACGACCAAGCAAAATAAAGAATGGGGCAACGGGCTTGGCAATCTATTTGACTCATTGCGCATAATGTATATGCTTGTGATTTAATTATTGTTATTAGCGAGATATTCTTTTTCCATTGCCACTATTTCTAGCACTAGCAAAACCGTCACGTGTTCTAAATGGCTATTCATCGCATTTTACTTCACTACGCTCATAATTTGCAGCGCACCAGAAAAATACAAACTAAATATTTATGATTCGTTATTCTCGTTGACATTTTTCGTTTTTATACGCTATGAGTGTATGTGTGTCTGTAAGTGCGCGCGGAAGTTGTGGAAGTTTTTTTTTTTCATTTTATTCTCCGTTTTGTCGAAATAAACAAAAAAAGGCGCATTTCGTTTGAAGGCTGCAATGTGGGTGTATTTACATTTGATTGATTACTCATAATTGGTAGAAAAAAACATTACAATTTATGCGCCCATATATTTTTGCAACATGTTCCGTTTATTTTGGACATTTATTCTATGCTTTTTTTGTTGCGAAAAAGGGAGCAATTAAACCTATCGTGGCATTGAATAGATAATATTTGGACTATAGAGAGATACATTCAACATGAAAAATAGAAGAATTCACCAACCACATCCATCAATGTGATTAGAATCTATTCATTTCAACATTTATTCAAAACCTCATTTGCTTAATTAGGATGTATTATGATATGAGATTCAATGATTGCTAAAGCATCAAACAGTTGCATAAAAAAAACATACAGAGAAAACAAATTTGTCGGAAAATATTCAATGAATGTGGTATTGTCGTTTTTTATGCAGAAAAATGTCTATCTTCAAATATCACATTGCCATTGATTTTCGCAGAGCACAATATATGTGAGGAGCATTCTGAGAAGCACTATGTAAGGAGTAACATTTACTCCGGATCTTCAAACCACCACTCCTCATATTGCTCTTAGAAACAATTATGGGTCATTCCAAAAACTCTTTCGATTAACTGGGGGGTTTTGACGTAAAAAATATTCCAAACGTTTGTGCCGAAATGCTTAACCCCTCCCCCGGCAATCGATTTTCATCACAATGGAGAAAAAACCATTATGTTATGATCTACCCTCTGCAAAATTTTCCCATTCCTGTTTCTTTTATCATGCCCATGAATGTAATCAACCCATTACTACTCTGGAATTATTTAAGTGAATAAACAGGTCATTCAAAATCGATTTAGTTCATCGAAACGGTTATATCAGAACCAATAATTTACTACGTCAGTTTGTAAAAAACTATGTTCTATTTTTTATGTTGAAATCAGGATGCGCATATTTATAAATGATTTAAAACATAATCAATGTATGATAAAAATAAGCTTCATTATATTAACGGTGGCGGCATGTGATTTATGCTCGTTTCGAACAATAAATCGATAAAATCATTACCATTCGATTAATATCTTCTTGGAATTATTAAGTGGTAAGTTTTCTAAAATGTCGGTTCTAAATGTCGGTACGTGTTGACTCTTGATTTTCCTCCCAAATAGATTGAATGATAAATCGTTTCCGCTGCGTGCTCAAGCGAGAAATGTAAAAATATTCGATGTTTATTCATGGATTGGAAACGGTATCATATACAACACAAACCAGCCAAAAACAAATCACATATCGCTATAAGTGTGTAGCCAAAAATGATTTTGCCAAATGATTCGCTCGGAAGACTAAATATATATTGGAATCGGTAATAAATAATATGAGGAAAAGTTTAACGTGTTTGCCCATTGAATGCGAAACTGAAGAGAGATAAACTAACAGCTAAAACTCGCTTTCCTTCCATATCTCAATGTTATGGCTAATACATGGCCACAAAGCGTTTTATCGAACTTTTATTCGATCATTTCGAGTGACAGTCTGAAATGGTATCTTGTATTTTTGTGGGTTCACTCTCTCCCATTCTCGCTTTCTCGCTCTGTGATTCAGAGTGCTCGATGATATATAGAAAAAGTTTCCACATAGATACAGAGACACGCACACATACATCAATTGAACCAGAACAATGGATTCTTTGACGTTACTCTTTTGATAACAAACAAAAAAATCATAAGACATGGCAAGACATTGAAGTCATCTATTTTTGTTCGGTTCACAATTAAGGCTTCCATCAGTAGCTTTTGTGAAATGGTTTCCTTCCGATGCCATTTCAATTAGAATTTCGATGTACTTCAAACGGATCGATTTTTTTTTCAGTTTTGTAATTTTATCAACAAACGACTATGAAATCCAAAAACCGTTTTCTCCTCGGACTATATATTGATATAGTGACTCTTCGACTACTATTTAACTCACATTTTACTGCGACTTATTTCGAATGGTTCGCATGCTCATAATTCATTCGATTCCAATAAAATATGTCTTCTGCTTTTGATTTGACACTTTGGTGAGTGCAAATGGAAAGTTTTGTTCATAAGAAAGTGATAGAAAAAGGGAGAGAGTTGCTGGTTTTTTTTTTCGCAACATTTGTTAAACTGTAAGGTGTCATAGCATAGACAAGGGCTTTTGTCGATTTTAACGTTATCGTGTCAAAGTTTTAGCATGATAATGCTCAAAATTGCCAACAAATAAATTTCGATACAGGTTTTCATGTTTGCCGCAAATAGTTTCCGAAATGGGTGTTTTTAATGTTGCGGTTATTCGTCATGTATATAGAAATACAAATACTCATAACGACAAAGTTTAGTTTTAACGACAAAAACATCGAAATTTAATCGTTTGTTGGTTGAGTTTTATTTCATTTGATTTATTCAGTGCGTTTATTTGATTTGGATCGGAATAAAATCGTTTCATGGCAATGATATCAATTAATCGATAACATTTCGAATAACGCGTTTGCAATGATTATATTTGAATTAAATTTTCATATGAATAGAAATTGAATGTAATTCATATTGATATCATATGATTGTGTACGTGCACAGCGAACATAACACACTCACTCCCCCCCATTCTTCCTCTCATCGTCGCTCTTCTTTCCGGGAACGCGCACACAATGGCCATACTTCCGAAACGGAATGTGTGCACTGGTTGCAATAATTATTTGTGTACAAAATCGGTTTGCATCCGAGAATTGCAGTGCAGCAAGCAATCATCATTTACATTGGCATTCCTTCACACCCATGAATTTCCGTTGCCACTATGTTGTGCACGAATATATTCAACTCAATGCAATATAAATGTAAATTTGCTACAAAAACGGACATCATGTTGCACTTATTGGCTTTCAGTGTTTGAAACTAAATTTTGCGTTAACAATTCTGAACTTCGGCACGTACGGAACGAGACTGTCTTAATGAAAATATTATTATGCTTTGACACGCATGCACTTCTGTACTTTCACATTGAAGTCGCCCCAAATACTGTTCTGCGATCGATGTTGTGCTTAATTTGTGTATGGCCCCATAGCAGAAGCAACTACCTGTGGCCAATCAAACTAAAAATTGTTCATGAACACACCAGATTCCGTTCAATGCAAATTTGCTTTTTTTTGTCCCCGAAACTCACATTCGCATCAAACTTTATCGTACGAATTTGACTTTGCGAAAACGATAAAATTTAATAAAGACGACATTTTAGCATTTTTCACATGTAATTTACTATCGAAGACGATGCATCCGAGGACGACGACGCGAACATTTATTTAGATAAGTCGTTAGTGTTCCAGCTTTTATAAGAGCTTGCAATACTTTTTTTTTTGCTTTATAATATATGCAAACACACACACACCTACAATTCCTCCTATCTCTCTCTCTCTCTCTCTCTCTCTCTCTCTCTCTCTCTCTCCCCCAATGCCTCTGCATGTTGCATAATCTGCAAGTATGAATAGTACACATGTAAATGGTTAGAATTCATTTTGATATTTTGGTAATTCGAGCCGAGCTTCATTTTGAATAAAACTTTTTTCTCAACTTTTTTGTTGAGATGCATAAGTTTACTTTTTTCATCGTATGTGCTGCGGGGCATATAATTTTTTTAGATAGCTAATAATTCTTCAACATTTCATCGGTGTGTCCAATATGTATTCGCACACACGATGCACTAGCAAACTTTCAAATGCGATTTTATTTGCATGCTAATTGTGGGCCAATTGAAACTAAATTATTATTTTCAACTGCATAATGATTTTATTTGTTTTTGTCATCGTTCTCGATTCCATGTACATTAAATATGTATGCTCAACGTTTTTGTCTCCTGACGTCAGCATTTTGAATTTTTCTGTATTCGCATTTACGAGCATAGGTCAACCAGCTGCACTGTATTCAATGAAATTTTATTACATTGCGATGGATTTTATTGCTATTTTGCATTGAAAAGCGTTTTCTATTTGCATATATGGTAAAAGTTGGAAAATTGAAATTGAATTCAAAGCGTCGAAACTTGAAATGTGTTTTAGCATGTGTGTGTCCATAACATATGCAAAAAAGTCATTTGATCAATGTTATCTCTAAATAATTGTGGAGCTTATCTTTTATTCACTTTGATATTGGTTTTCCTTCTGGCTTTTTTTTATTCTTTTCTAGTTTTGTTGCTATTTCATCACAGACGATAAAACATGAAAGTTTTCACATAATTATTAAAATGAATGTCGATAATTTACTTCAATGTGGGGTCTCCTTTTCCATGTTTGAAAGATTTATATCTAGATTATGCAGCACATCTGATTCAATGGGTTCATTGATTTCAATAAATTGGCTGCCTTTAATACAAAATTGATTGCGTTCACTTTATCGAACTATAACTTCTTTTCTAAGTAAGCATTGAATAGTATAATTTTGTGCGAAAACGGTTTTTGTTTTTAGAGCACATCCTTCACGTGAAATATTCACTGAACAGAATAATAAACACCCGTTTGCCACAAAAGTACATTCATTCGTTACACAAATGCATTGCAATGCGAATAATTTGAAATTTAAATGAAATTATACGAAATTCAATGAAAAGTCAACGAAGCTCATGTTACTGGAACTTCCAGTCTGGAATATAAAGGAATAAGCCATACAGTTTTATATTGAAGGACTAAAATTGTTTGAATATCGTAGAGAGCTTCATTGTCTCAACGAAAAATATGGTTGAAATATCAAAATGTGGACCATGATTTCCAAATAATTGCAAATCTTCTAAAAAATTATGAAATAAAAAACAGGCGAATTTAAATAATTTGTTTGCCGTTCGGTCTGGCATCATCATCATTCAGCGTTTCATTTCAAAATTCAATTGTATTTTACAAGATTCTTGTTTTTTCGGTACACACGCAGCAGATTTTGTTTATTTTTCATTTTGAAATCGAGATTGCATATGATCAATTGCTGTATCGAAAAGAAATCAATTAAATCTAGATTTGGAAGTTACTTTGTTCGTGGCTTCATTATGCGCATTCAGAATCTGAATTTCACTTTGAGTATTCACACAATTTTATCATAAAATCGAAATAAAAATAATTTCTATTTGAAAATGTATACGCTGTGTGCATCACTTTTCTTATTGATAAATTTTGCCGTAAGTGTTGTAAATAAAATTGCCTGAGAAATGAATCGCCGTAATAATGATCGTATTTGTGTTTTTTAGATAAGTCATGAAGTGATTGAGCCGCTTTCATGCCGTGCATTGAGTCAACCATATGCACCTTTCTATGACCATTGTGAGAATTTTCTATATTTCAGTGAATTTGCTGGTTTCGTACACCGATACGATTTCAATGAAAAACGTTTATATACAGCGAGCACTGGAAATATATCGACCACATTTATTATTCCAGTGATAAATTGTAAACATCGATTCATAATTGGCAACGGACTTGATGTCATATTGATGGAATGGAATGGAAAAAGTTCAACAATCCGATTGATTCGGGCCGCATTTCGTGTACATAATGCACATAAATACTCGAAAACTGTTTGGAGTTTGGCTAGAATCTCGCCCACTTTTCAATTTTATGCTGGAACATTTTGTGAAACAATTTGCGGTGACACAGACAGTGAAAATGCAGCATTATTTCAATACATTAAACCAAATCATGTGACACGTCGAATCAAACATTTTAAACTTGCCGGTGATTTCGAATGGAATATCGAAGAGAGGCTGATGTATGTCATTAATTCTTGTTGCAGAACACTACTGGAGTTTCAATGGAACCCAGAAACTGGCGCTCTTTGTAAGTTAAATGAATGAGTAACAGTGAAATCAAGTTTTTTTTTTAAATAAATATTCAAATCAAGGTCATGGCCGTATCGTATACGAGTTTAAAAACAATGGAAATGCTGCAGTAATTCCATTGGGGTTGACAATTGATACCGAGGGATGTGTGTATGTTGGCATGTATAATGGTGGTGAAATAAAAAAAATAAATCCAAAGTAAAGTGTTCAAAAATGATCAAAAATCTATTGAAATCAACTACTCTTTTAATCGTTAAAATTAATACAATTTTTAGAACCGGTAAATGTGTAAAGACTTTTAAAATGCCAGCAACAGCTATTTCAGCACTATCATTCGGCGGTCCAAAGAACGATATTTTATTTGTGACATCACAGTCACATAAATTCAATATTACAAATGGAGGATTATGCGCTCGAGACGATCATGGTCCATCGGATGGTTTAATATTCATGGTCAAAGACGTCAATGCAAAAGGTGTTGAACGACGAAAAATGTACCTTGATTCTTGCTAACAGATGATCCAATCGATACAATGAATTTCAATATTCTGTTTTAAATAAAAATGATTGTAGAATTAAATTCGTTATTTGCTTGTTACTGTAAAACTTTTTTTTTTCGGAAAACGAACGATAGAAATGGCAGAGCTCTAAAAGATATGGAATAAGTCTAAAATATTGGTACTGAACAATTTTTGGAATGAAAATCCAAATTCAATTGATCGAATTTTTATATTTTGTAAATTTTTATAATATTTTATTTGGCCCAATCGTCACGTACTGTTATTAAATATTTTTCATTGCTGCAAACTCACCTTGTTGTTTACTATCTGACGAAGCGTTTGATAATAACAAGTTGGCAAGTGTGGAATGTGTATCATAACAAACTTTAGAGCAAAAAATGTTCAAACAAATATCAAGTGAAAAAAAATAATAATAATAAAAAAAAAACAAACGCTTAAGCGTGTGTGGAAAAGAAAATCAATGAAGCAACACATTTCTGAACGGTTGATTGAATGAAATGCGCAAATTCTATTAAACTAATTGGTTTGGGAATTATAAAATAATAATGTGTACATATTTTTTGTGTATATTGTCGATTGGCGATGTCAGCAGTCAATTGGTGGCTAGTCTATTCCCTAGATAATAACTACCGTCTCGAACGTCGCACAATTTTCTATGATAGAAATTCCATATAAATGAAACTATTTGACAGCAAATTATTTAATTATATAAAATTAAATAAAATTTGATACAATTATAAGGTTTTGTATGATTATCTTTCAGTGCCCAAGACAACATAGGCCGTACCCATTCGTATACGATAACCACTTGTTTGATATAAAATACGTTTGGTGATTCCGAGTTATTTGAATCACCGGATCGATACGGCGAACCCATTTGAAATTAAAATAAATGCCGCTCTATTTTCATATTTGAAAGTTGGTAATAATTCGAACGTTGTTATGGCCAAGTTTTCACCCAGTTTGAGCAATAAATTTTCATTTATAAATTTATAAATATTTTATTGAGTCTCAAAACTGGGCTGGTGATATCCAACCAAAAGAACTAAACGCGACAAATTTAAACCAGAACAAAAAAAATTGTCAATGCTCATTCGTTGAATATATTTACGTTTTCCCCTCATTTCTCAGTGGACATTGAAATGACCATTTTTCCTTGTTTCTGTTTCAAAAGTTATAATCCATATTGAAATTGAGAATCGAGTTTTGAATACTCAGTTGAAAAAATTGAAAATATCAGATTGAAGTCTAGTTAAAAAAAAAATCAAATTTAAAATGAATTGAATTTGATCCGCCATTGTATCTGGTGTTAACACGATACCTTTCTGCAAATTCACCAATTCAAATAAAACACTTGTGCCGATCGCAATAAATGGAAAATGCTTCCTTTGTGTGTCAAGTAGTTTTCGTTTTTTTTTTTTCAATGTATGTCGTTCTTGTATCTTCAACATCTTATTATGTTCTCCTTTTAAGCGTTTATCAGAGAGCTGTTGAGATTGGTACCGGAGAATTGCGGGCACATGTGAGCCGTTGTTATTCATTTCGCATATTATTTTTTAATGAAAAGTGGAAATGATCGACTTTGGTTGTAAATCGGCAAGTAGAGAAAAAATTCCGATGATAACCAAATTTATAATAAGCATTAAATGGCCTATCACGCAGACAAACACTCAAAATTACCGAGGTAGAAAGAGAGCGAGAAATAATTTATACCATTGTGATTATTTTCAAAATAATGATAATTTGATTTAAATGAAATTGAAAATCGTTGGTTACGTTGTACGATTGCTATTGGTAAATGAGACAATTTCCTGATGACATAAAAAATGCATTTGTTTTTTTATTATCAACTTCATTGTACGCCATTAATTAACAAACAGTACATTGCTACAAATGAATGAAAATACACAAATTTAATTTACTTGATTATAATAAAAACAAATAAATTCTTTTTTTTCGGTTGTGGCTTGCCAATTTCCAAACGGTTTCGAACACGCAAAATGTCCAACAATTTTTTAACGTTAAATCAAATCAACCACACATTTGACGTGTGTGTACAGACGGGATATTGGTTGTTTGGTCGATTCCACCACAAATCCCAAATGATAAACGAGAAAATAAGCTGGTTTGCAATGCGGAATTTTACAAATCTGGATTTTAGAACTAACACCTTACACATTGTCCATCACCCGAAATTCCGTGTATGTCCATCCGGTTATTTCATGACATTCGAAAAAGAACCTATGTCACCAATTTACTTGGCAAATCGTTCACCATCCGTGTGTATGTTATGCCCCCATTCTGGTCACAATATAAAGCACTTTCATGCGCCAAATATTGACTTAGTTGATTGGACCGTGTTGAAATGTTCGATAAAAAGTGAACGAAACAAATGTAGCTGACATAATAGAAAAATGAACAAGAAGAAAATTCACAATTGACATTGTAAAATTGAAAATAAATTCACATTCCATCAGGTGTGATGCTATTTACGAATAATATGAACGGCAAAATAAAGGTAAATATTTTTGCAGGTTTTATGTTTCCAATTTTGTTGGATGTGTGAGTTGATCGTTAGTTTTTTTTGCATTGATCTCTCATGATTTTTTCCACATTTTAGTTCGATTTTTTTTTTCACTTTATTATTATTTTTTTCAAAGGTATAATAATTCCCGTTATTTTAGCGCAACTTATAGAAAATCGCAATCAAACAAATAGCTAATGTATATTGTCATTGTCGATGCGAATTCAACAAGGGCAAAAAGTAAAACTAAAAGTCACACACAATACGTGCGACCAGTCAAATATCCGTATTCGTTCATAAATACATTTGAAATGGAGCACAGGCGTGCGAAAGTTGAGTGAAATTGTTATCGAATACGAGTACACGTTCATTTAAACAACAAGAGTCCATTAGCGTAAAAAAAGTCAAACACACACACTTTTGTACATATTGGCAAAGGATGAAAAGGAAGTGTCGGATATCATATATACATATACGTATCATTATCGGCTCTTATGTTCAGTGATTTGTTCAAATTTCAAGCAAATGACGTTATACTGAAACGGTGACAATTCAACAAAAGAATATGTTCGATTCACTTCATTCATGCGATAAACTCGTTCAAATATATGGTAAATGCATTCATTTCCCGCGAAAAGAAGTGGCAAAAAACAACCATTGTATACGCATATTTGTAAGTATGTTTCAGGAATAATGGCACATTGCACACGATACGACCTAAAGTTATGTACACTTTTATTAATGAGACGATGTACATGACAAATATAATAGAATGCCCGTTTTGTTAAGACTTTGAATACGATAAAGAGAAAGAGAAAGAGAAAGAGAGAGTATAAATGAAAACAACATCAAATACGAAAGAACTTAGCAACGGGAATAAAGAACTTTAAATATATTCGTATGTACTACCGTTTCGTTGTTTTACTCTCCGTGTCGTACTTTTTGTTTCCCTTTTAATATTGATAGAAAATGTGAGTATATCGAAACGTATTATGTTCATTTTGGTCGATGTGTTCCCGTCATAGCTTCAGCAAGTTGGATTATCATAGCAGAGAGACGGAGAGAGTGAGAGTGAGAGAGAGAGAGAGAACAAGCGTGGAGAGTAGAGAGCAATGCTTGTTTGGCTTTCCACCAAGACATACTGATTCTGATGTGTATTGTGTAGTACTAAAAAGAGGGTATATTTATGCCATTCAACCGAACGCCAGTTTCAGTCTGTTACTAAAGCTCGTTGCTTGCGCATCTCTCAGCTGATTATATTGAGTTATAAAAACAGAACAGCCGCTTATATTCCGCTTTACACATCGGTGTGAACATCGAAACATTCAAATATCTTGCCACGTCTTCGTGCATATACCGTTTCCGTTGAGCAGAAAAATTATTTCGAAATTGAATGCAAACGAACAATTTAAAACTACAAATGAAACAATAATAATCGCAAACCAAAAACATCCGCCGTTGACGCCGCCACCGTCGTAGCCACAGTGTAATATTTGAAAGAAGAATAAAAAACGCGTTCGCGATCCAAAGAGGAAATCATTTAATTTCGGTGCTATTTTTAAATGTGTTTGTGTGCGCTTATTTTCAATGTAATTTGAATACAAACGTTTCGGGTTTTTTTCCCATTTGTCTGCATATTTCCTTGTAAAAGTAGCAAAGCCACACAGAACAACGGTAGCCACGCATAATTGAAAATTAAAAGTATAAAAAAGATACAGTGCGAGGAGTTACCACAATAACACAATAAGAACACAAATAAAAACAAATGAGTTAAGAATTAAAAAGCGTGAAGTTAACCGAACCAATTTCGAACAGTTGAACTTTTAAACCGACGATATTCAAGAAACACCGCATTCGATCTGACGATATAAAGTGTACAATATACGCGAATTTTAATTAAATTGATATATTTCGAAGAGAGTATATTACATTTCACGCACCAAATACAAATCATACCAAAATGAATACCAAAATGCGTCAAACAATTTCCGGTGTTTTACTCATAATTTTATTATCAAATACACACAATTACGGTGCACATGCCGATGATAAAACAATTAACCGCCTACTAAACAATCAAGCTATCGTCAGTCGACAAATAATGTGTGTTTTAGAAAAAAGCCCATGCGACCAATTAGGCCGACAACTCAAAGGTATGTATATAGCATATTGAATTTATTATTAATTGCATTTAAATGCAAAACTTATGGACATTTATGGTATGGAGAATAGATAGAGCATAAACACCGTTTAAAATTAGATTTGGTGTCGATTCATTATTGATGCGAAATTGAGGAGATTTGTGGATTGAAATCAGTAATCGTGGTGAACCGTAACGAAGAAAAATCCACACCATTTCGAATGATGACGTAAAAACATAGATCAATCAAATCATATGATGCTCTTAGATGGTCTATTTTTTGTATCTACTTTTGATGGGCTGGCATTTTTCTTGTCTTTTTTATTTCAAAGCCAAGTCAGACTTTTGAGCAAATAGAGCATGTGTGTGTGTATGTAAGAGAGAGTGGGGGGGTGTGATTTGAGAGTAAAAAAGGGAATACAAAATGGCAAAGTGTGAATAAATCAAGTATGATCCATTCGAGTTACTTTAGAGACAGAATGGATAACAATATGCGATAACGCTGAATTTGGGTTAATTTAATTGAATGAATTGTGATTTATCCTTAATTGGATAAAATCGCATAATTCACGTCTTCTGACATGTTCCTTTCATTTCCAATGGTTTATTGTATTTTTGTGTGATCGGTCACAAAATATCTAAATACGTTTCATTATATAACAACGTCATAAAAACATCAGGCTGGGTCTTCTAATTTCTTCAATTTAATAAAGTAGCTGCTGACCAGTGGAAAAAAAAAGAAGAATCAGTGTCAGTGGTATCAAAGGCACACTTCGTATGTGTTTAAATTGCTGAACTTTAAATTTAATATTATTATTTAAACATGTATGTATGTTATGCTTTCCATCTCGACATTTCGTCCGTCCAAATAAAGTGCGATAAACAAAATAATCAAACGAAAATCGAGTGAAATAAGTATAACGACTTTGTTTGGAATTGAAATGTTTTGTCACTTGCTCTCGCTCTCGGTATGTTTGTTTGTTTGCTTTATGTTCCTCGGCTTGAATTTGTATCAAACAACAAACAAAACAAAAACACACAATCACAACAACAACAACAACAACAAAAACATAAATAACAATGGACTATGAATCAGTAGTGTACGTGAGCTTGTTCATTGGATGCAATGCGAATTACATTTGATTGAGACTGATGAAGGAGTGACAAGTTGTCACAAGCATCACAATGAATTTCTTCTTATCGATCAATTGTAAAAAATTACAGTTTCCGTTATCGTACTTTCAAAAATTACACACTCAGTGTACCAATTCATACGGTAGCTCAGTAGTCAGCATGTATATGAATGACAAAGTGCGCAACTGGGTGCATGAGCACTAGATTTCTTAATTTTGCACGTAGTCCCTTGTATTTGCTGTATTTTTGGCCGCACATAAATTTAATCAATTGTCAGTTTGAATTAATAAAGGGATCTGATTACATTTCTTACATTTTAATGCGAAAACATTGTTGAATGCAAATAACCGTTTTTAGTTTCGAAATTTCTTTTTTGTAAAATCCATTCTTTTTGCAACATTTCCAACAATCATCGAATTATATATAGAATGATATTATACCATTTATTCGATCACATCATCTGCATCAAATGAACATAATTATCTCACTTTTGGTTGTCATTATTTATTTACTTTGTATTTGTTTGTTTGTCGTTTCTTTGCTTGCGTTAAATGAAATGCCATTGTCTGCAGCATAGTTGAATCATTTTAAGTGCAATTATTTCATCACTAATGGTCATTTAATGATGATAGACTCAGTAAACGTCATTTTATCTACATTTAATTCACTTTGATTGTGTGTTCATTTCGGAATTGAAATTTGCCTTTTTATCGACGGTTTGAAAGGATCCCATATATTGAATACATTTCGATTTGATGTGAAAAATTCGGCACCAGAAAACAAAAGACCAGTGAGTAGAAATGAAAGTTTTGCACATGAATCACGTTTGATTTTGCACAGACATCATCCATAAAATGAAATGGGTGAGATGAATGGCAGAGAACGGCAAACACATTAACAGATAAAATTCAACTTGAATTTTTACAAACAATAGAGAAAATGCACTCGTTTCCCTTCCCACCTTCATTGAAATTAGTTATTCATTGTGATGTGTTCGTTCGTCATGTGAATCAGAAGCACCTTTTTGTTCAACATTAGCATGGTTTGGACATTGCATGCATTCTGTTCTTTCTTCACCTTTTTCTCCGATTCGATGAATGGTCCCCCAAGTTTTTATTATACCATTTATTATTTTCCAAATGCACGATGATGATGAGAAATCGTAAATATCGAATGAGCCATGCTAATTTAATGGATATCTCTATTTGGTTTACGTTCCATTGAAGTTTAACATCTCTAAATTCACACAAACTCGATCAAAGTATGCACGAGCTTCTGTATTTGAGTGCATTGATAACAGCCATAATAACGTGATTCGCATTGTTGGCAACAATCACTTAACGACACATCCCATTTACGGTTTTTGGTTTTCAAACTTCGGTTTGCCACCCATTCTTCCGCCAGCCGCTTTTCTCAATTTCCTTTGTTTAGTCAATGTAATTGATACTTGTTTTACACACCAAAACTTGCCAAATTTGCACATTGCTGATGTCAGCTAGTTGCTGATGAAAATTGTGTTTTCCGTGAATGAAAAGAATACACAATAATAATATAAAATTAAATTTCCGTCGCGTGCGTCCATTCTATTTTTCAACAACATTTTCGCTGACAAATCAAGAAAAAAAGGAAGATATCTGATAATGAACGCGATGGAAGAAAGGAAACGAAGTTTTTCGCACAGATACAATGCCGAGCAGCATAATGGTGAAAATGCAAAATTCTGATGAGTTTATAAAGTTATTTATGACGGTGCATGGGCTCGACAGTAAAGCTGAATACAATAAAGTTTTCTTTTTTGCTTCGAATCGCGCTCCGTTTACGTCTATTTGCATCACATTGAAGATATTTCAAGCGTTGTCTTGTTTTGTGCGTTCGTTTATTTCAGTGTATGTGTGTGTGTGCGTACGTTTTTTTCTGGCACTTTTTGTTCGCATTCATTTCGAATCAAACAAAATCAAATCAACTCATTTGTAGCTGTTTGAAGCTTTAATGGAATCGTCCAGCTTGGACCCCCACTGAAAATAATTTTTCTTCATAAAATCAACGGCCAAAAAGTTATTGGACTAGCAGAATCGGTAGGCGAGAATGAAATAAAACAACAAAAAAAGAAAAAAATCATACATGCCACATCCAAAACGAAAATTAAAGAAAAAGAATGTTGTTTACTGAAATCCCACGATATTACGAATTTAAATACCATCATCCGTACTTTTCAGCAGACCTATTTTGTTCAGTGTTTGCAGCGCCCCATTGTAAATATGGGTAATCTCATTTTATCGGCTGTAAGGCAATTGAAAATGTTATGTTCATGTTTTTTCCGTCTTCTTTTTGTTTTCATTAGCTTCAACAATTTTTATTTCTTAAAGAATCAGCATTTTTCTCTATTTAATGGACCGAAAATCATTATTGAATCACGATTTTGTCATTTAAGAACACCAAAAGAAGTATGAGTCAGAGAAAAAGAAAAAGAAAAACAGTAATCATGATGTGTTAGCGTATGCGACGGAAAATATGACTTCACAACGTCACATTTTTTGACTACGACCAGAAAAAGGGATTACCATAAATATACAATTCCATAAGTGTCTCGTCGAATATTTTCACCCGTTTATTTAGCTTTCAATGACCATAGCGCGAAAAGTTTCAAAATTCGTGCAAACGTGTTCAAGAGAGATAAGGAGCATATCACAATGCTGAGATAATTTTTTTTAAACCGACATTACTGATTGATTTGACGACATCAATAATTCTCGTGCGACACCGGCAATTCAAATTGCTGTGACTTGAACACGACATTTTTTTCTATGAGAAAAGGTGAGATGCATTGACATTTTGCTCCAGAAACAACATTGAAAACTCGTGTTTCTACTTTCTTTCAATATTAATTGAGGTCAAACTTATATAGAACGTTAAGGTCGAAAATACTCTAACACCCTAGTTATTTGTTCAAAAATACTCACTGAACTGTATGTTTCTTGAAAAGAATAAATAAAATCAAATTAAATCCCATTCCAGAATTCTTTTTCAATTCGATGGAATATAAATTAAATTTGAAACGTTACAATTTCATCTATTTTCATGATGGAGATTGTGTAAAAGAAAAAACCGTTCCCATTTTACATTGAGAATAGCAAATGATATTTTATCAAATTTTATGATGTGTGCTACTGTTGAATTTCATCACAGTCATTAAATTTCTTATCAAAAAAAGCCCTTTCGAACGGCTTCTACGTCAATCGAAAGTCCATTGAAGCATTTTCATATGATGAAAATAATAATAATCAAATGATCGCATGCCATCATTTGCTCATATCCAGAACATTGCACATCGGATCCATATTAAAGAAATTCCACAAATATTTTCGCTTGTGTTTAATTCATTATTGGCAATCCTTAGATTGCTAGCTTACAACATAGACGGAGACGGCTGTTGAAGTTACACACGATGTGCACAAACTCCAATCGATGAACTGAATGTGATCGGCAAGAAATTAAATGACAGACAAGCAACCACATACATGATAAAAACAGCATTAAGCAATTATAATATGTGTGCAACGGTGATGCTAAACATGTCAGTTCATCAAATTACTCCGTTTATTCGATAAAAATCGATAATTACTTGAACGTATACACGATTCTGTTCGAATCCAGAGCACAAATTTAGCAGTTAAAGTTTCGTTTTAATCACATATAATTAAATTAAATGCCAAATAATGAATTTCGTGCGAAATACTTCGACATCACTGATGGCTTTTTGCTGTCTGAATAGTGCTAGATATTCGCAGCGGCTGCCCAGATGCGGATTAGATGCATTCACTGTACGCCTCTGTATTTGGTACAAAAAAGTTTGATGTGCTGTACAGACGCTGCGAATAT